TTAAATAAAGAAGGTGAGTCATACTTTGTTCCAAAATAAAATCTTAGAGTCATACTCCAAGATTGTGTCTTGAGTGACATATCCTAAGCAGGTTTATAACACATCATGAAGTGTGGAGTAGAGAAGTTTTCTTACTGTTTCACATTAGAAATTGGTAGTTGTGATGTTTTGGATAAAACAAAGACCAACTAAGACTAATTGTATGAAGTATTTTTCTTGATAAAAATCCGCACTAACTCTTGAATATTTGATTGTCAAGGAATGTTTCTTGATAAGAGAATCTTATATGTCAAGAGGTCAGTGAGAGTTTTAATGATCTTGGATAGTTTCAAGAACTAGTCAAGAATAAACCTATTATTAATCGCTAGCACACGACTTGAGGTTGATAACCTATCGTGTTGACATACTCTTGTTTCTGTGCTCATTCCAGTTAAAGTTGACTACGCATGTGAGTTTTACGAGTTCTCATTTAATTGTATAAGGCAAAGCACCTTGATCAATGAAAGTACATTGACCTGTAAGGGTGAGCTACTCAATAACTTGGAAGCAATGGTAGGCCGTTATGCTATCAAATGGAAAGAAATTAAGATAAGAAAGTTCAGTCCATATGAGTTCTCATTTGTCATAAACATTGTCTTATGATAGTGGTTGGAAATGAAAAATTCACATGGATAGGAACGCCTACATCATCAAATCTAAGTGGCCAGATGTTTCTCTCTTCTTCATGAAAATGATTATGAGGAAACACTTACACTGGAAGATTTTAATTAAAGAGTTAGATGATGTGTTGATTGAGTTCTCAAATTTGATTATGATTACGATATCCCTTTTCATAGTTCAAATTGTGAGAAATGACAAATGGTTTGAACATTTGGGACTTATGGCTATAAGTTCTGAAATAGTCTAGACATACATATGAGCTATCTAATGAAAGGTGTATGAGCTTGAGAACTTATGATAAAGATTTTTTGAAGTGTCACGTATTAGAAATATGGACTTTGTTAAGAAAGCCAATAAGTATTGATTTCTAGAAGTCCACCTGATTTCTGAATACATGTCAAAGCTAGTGGGAGCATAAGTGTTGTGCTTGTGAAAATATAATTATTATGCTAGTGGGAGCATAATATTTATGTTGAGTGTTGTAGGTTAGCAATGCTATATATAGAAAACAAAGTTTTGACTTGCAAAGTTGCAATGGTTGAAACGTTGTTTCCCTATAGTAAAATTTAAGGGAGAGGATACTTATACTTTATTTCGAATCTAAAAGTTTAGATTGAGTATTTAATCAAACTTAGTCATGGTCATATATATAAATGTCATGTTGAAATGTTTCAACATAAGAAATTCTATATATGGAAATATTATAGCAAGTCACTGATCATGGGATCATGTCTTTATGTAAGACATTATGAATCGTATCCCATACGCATTGGGTATAGGATTGATTGCATATGCTATAATATTCGCCTATTCTGATTTTTCCATATGCTTAGCGCATTAAGAGGGAAAAGGGACTGGAACCACATATGACTAAAGTTTTTAAACAACTATCAAGGAAAATCTGAGATTTACAAAGATTGGTTGCTTATGGACAGTTGGAAGTATAGTAATAGATGGATCGTATTGATATAATTCAGAATAGATAAGATTCTATTAAGAATGGGTTGTCATATGGTAATTATGGAAATGTTTCCATAATAGGAGTTGGATATTAAGAGTCTATGTGTGAGTTAGAAAATTTAATGCAAGAAGGATGTTCAAGGAATGCTCTTTGAATGTGAGAATTCATTTCCAGGGAATTGTCTTGTGACATTCTCAAATGGAATACTTTGTAATATCATTGGCCAAATCTCTGTGACTTTTGTGCCTAAACATTACAAAAAGGATCATTACATGTAAGTTTAGACTCGAGAAAATTCTAATAGTGAAAAGACATTGATATTCTTACACTTATAATAAGCATTTGGAATTGTGAAATGAGCATCATTGGAAATGTGTTCAATTGATCTATTTCACAAAGTAAGGACCATAGATAAACATAGTGTGCATGCTTGGACCATGGGATGACTATTGTTGTAATTCAAGTATTAAGTTGATTGTTTGAAACATTATACAATGATTGTTTGAAATATTATACAATGAATAAGTTCTAGTCAATATGGTGATTAAATGATACGCATCTTACTTATATTCAAAAGTTTTGAGACCATATTTGATTGGTTTTATTCTTGTGTTTCACTTCGCATGTTTTATAACCCGAATAACTAGGTTATTTAAACATCAACAGTTAATCATACTTTGGAAGTAAGTAATGAGGTAAGGCTATCATGAATCCGACTGTAGATTATCTAAATGTTTAGACATACCACAATTCTGCTACAGTGTTCATGAGTACTTCTGAAACAAGATTTGAGTATTGGATTAAAGGCACGCTCATCTGAATCACTTCATGGATTTTATTATGAGTGATTATGAGATGATAATATCTTATATTCTTGAAATAGAGAGATTGAGTTGTTGTTTACAAGTCGGTTGCACATTGATAATACGTAAATGCATTATTAAGTTGATGTTATAAAACATATTGTTTTGTGTGATTTGATGAGTAAATAGTACAATAATATGATTTGAAGTTTATCCGTTCCTTTTATCCTAAGAGGATAAAAACGATATATGTGGGCCCCTCGATGATTAATGATGACACCTAAGTGCTTGGCCAAGCCTTGACTTATTGATGAGTTCAACTGTAGTCTGTTGTCAGTTGTCATAAATCAAAAATCGGGAAACAACACATGGACAAAGAGAATGATTATAGTCCTTGTCTCATGTCCATACGATATCTTGTAGAATGGAGGAATATTTGATCTCTTATCTATAGGATGCGTTGTTGATCAGAGTTGACAGCGACTTTTGAGAGCTACGATTGCTAATTGGTTTTTTGAAGTCGTACTTGCAGTTATAGTTATTAGACTTATCCAAGTGGGAGACTATTGGATTAGATGTCTAAGCCCATAACTATAATTGGTATGTACTTGACTCGATAGTAGCATGGTCCATTTTGGGTTGCATTCACTAGAACAATCTAATATGATAGATATTTGAGAAAGAGTTTATTTGCGATTTATTAATATATTATAAGTATAATATATTAATTAAGAAATCATATTATTTAATTAGTATTGATCAAGAATTAATTTAGAATTAATTTAGTGATCAAAAGACACCGATTAAATTAACGGGGAAAGATTATGTAAATTAGTGACACATATAGTTTGGGCTAATGATCCATGATTGACTTGTGATGGACTAAGCTTATGAGATAGTCCATGAAGTGTTAGTCCAAATCCAATTGTTGGATCATAAACCTAAGTGTAAGAATTAGGGTTTACAAGTGACTCTTGAGATTCTACACTATATATGTAACCTCTAAGCCCCTAAAATCGTGACCAAGTGTATTCTAGAAAGATATAGCCGATTTTGGTGCTCTAAGATCTCTCTCGTTGTCTTCTAATTTTTGGTGGTGCTTTGTGAAATATTTGAGGCATCACACTTGAGGTGCTAAGCTATTAAAAAGCCAAATTCTACAAGCTACAACAAGAGGTAATCATCTAACTAGTTTTTTTTTTTATGATTTAAATATCAAACTTGTATGCTAGTTAGGCTTCATGCTTTGGAAAAAAGAATATTGCATGTATAGCTAGATAAAACTTAGATCGAAAGCATTTAGGGTTGTATGTGCACCATAATGAGTTATAGTGCTCAAAACCCAACATCGCCAACTGCCACTATTTCAACCCCCTTTACGATTGCCCCATGCCCACCGGTTTCCTTGGGTGTTTCGCAATCATAACCTCCACTTTTCACCGATTCCACCACCACCACCACTACCTCCACTGTTGATCCTCCAGTAACTGTCAACACAACTAATGCGGGGGCAAGTGCTTCGGGATTCACAGATGGTAATACCAGTCCACCCATCTCTCCTTTCATCCAGGACGACTCGAACATGATCTTTGGTGGTGATGATGACAACTTTGCAGGATTCACTTACAGTCCCATTAACATTAGGACTGAAAGTGATGACGAAGCTCCCATCACAAGAGGTCAACTCAAGGCGATAAATGAAAAGGCTTGATTTGTTACTTCAATCATCCAAGGCTTCATCTACTGAAGATTATTCACAAGAAACAATCAAATCGTTCCTTGAGACCCTGACGAAAGAGCATTCTGCCAACCTTGAAAAGACGAACAAAGCGGTAGATACTTTTGCTTATGTGTGCAACGAAACGACTGAAAAAGTCAATAAACTAATTACAGATGCTCGCTCCTTTATGGAGAAATTTCAGATCTCCTTTGATTCCAACACTAAGAAGACTAAGGAGGTTATTTATAGCCTAGGTTCAACTCTTAAAACAGAGAAGGTGAAACTTGAAGAAGTTCGCACCTGTCTTCAAAGCAACCATGCTGAGTTCAAGTCCTCAATTTCCTAGAAGATCACAAAGCTTCAGGATGACTTATCCATCGAGAGAAAGATAATGGATGCTCTTGCTAAAAATACCGAAAAGGTAAAGTCTTGACGGTCAAACTAGAGAATACTGAGAAACGGGTTAATGATTTACTATCGGAAAAAGCTAATATGAAAAAGTTATATATCTGATGTGAATGCACTGCTTTTAGATATCATTGAGACTCATGACCCAATGATCATGATAACTGTTAAGAAGCATCTCTCAGAAAAACTAAGGTATGTGCTTGCCATGCTTCACAGACTGGAGGGTGTTCTGGAATCTGGCTCAATTCCGAAACAAGGGGGAGAAGGTGTGAATTAATCCAAGAAGGAAAACCCCAAACCTTCGGTTAAGCTCACTGCTAAGCCAAAAGGTAAAACTGATCCGAATGGCAAAGAAAAGCTTTTCAATGAAGAACCAATTATCGATAACAGTGATGATGAAGATCTTGATTAAAATGAGTTGAAAAGAAGAAAGGAATGTGAAGCTCGTATGGATGAGCATCAAAGAATCATTCACGAGGTTGAGGAAAAAAATGTGAAGCTCAAGCCACACTGGAAAGCAGTAAGCACTTGTTTCCAGTATGGACCTTGAAGCGGATCTTGAGTGAAGTTGTTGATATGCCAAGTTAGTATTGGATGGAACCATTTGTGTCATTCGTCCTTCAGAATACACTCGATTCACAGCTGAACGTTTCGATCACTCCGAAAGCCTTTAGGTTACGTAGCTTTGTGAAAGTTGTTAATATCCCAACAACTGACAGTGGTGCTGATCACTTACTCTTATCGTTCTACCTCAAGCATATGAAGCCAAAATACGAGATGTGGAGTGCGAGCAATATTATGGGTGTGAAGGTCACCAGTCCAATCGAAACTGATAGCTTCCTAAATGTGAAGTTTAAGGTTGTGAGAGGTTCGTCCAGTCAGGTCTATGAATTTACCCTCGTTGATCTACCATGTCTTAACCCGTATGATTGGATCGTGCTTTACAACTTTTGCTAAGAGATGGACACATGTATGAGCCCACTATTACTCACCTCAAGCAGATGATAATTTCATACATTTATGAGGTTGGGCAGATTGATGTTGAAATTGTTGCAATGCTGCGAAGGAAGCTAAGTGTACTCCCCAAAGATAACCCTGGTGGTTTTGATAAGATGAAACTTAGGAAGATACAAAAGAATGGATGGTGTGTGGATTTTCAATTGAAGGAGAAAATTGATGCATACTTTCACAAAGTTTGTTTCTTTCTCGACGACAAACATTTATTGACCACTTCGTGTCAAGAATATATCTTGGACTTCATCAACAAGTAGATAGGGAACAACAAAGGTGACAAGAAGTGCTTTTTGGATATGATTAAATGGTATATATAGGTCCGTAGGGTTCTGCTTAGCGTCATTCCAAAATTTTTTGAAGTGTAGAAGCGAACCCAGCAGTGAAGGACTCTTGCCTCAATCGATGCAAAGGGGGAGATTGTTGAGTATTTTAGTGTTGTAGCTTTTGGGCCTTTTGCTTAGTGTTTTGTGTATCCGGGTTGAGCATGTCCACCCATGTTTAATGATTACGGTTTTACTATTTAAGGTGCATTTATTCATCGTGTATTAGCTAATTGTTTCATTGTAAACCCTGCACGCATCTACAGTAGCAGTTCTTCATCGAGCTCTTCTGAGGCTGTGATTTATAAACATTCGACATATTCTTGATTCATATTCTATTTTTGATTGATTTTATTTGTTTGAATCTAATCGATATTAAGAGTTTTTAACTCATCAATTTGTATGTTGGGTTGGGCCCATTTATATGTATTTTGGGTTGAGTCTATTTATATGTATGTTGGTTTGGGACCATTTACATGTTGGGTTGGGCCCATTCCCATGTTGGGTTGGGCCCATTTATACGTATGTTGGGTTGGACCCATTTGCATGTTAGGATAGGCCCTTTTAAATGTTGGGTTGGGCCCATATGTATAGCATGTGATATTTTGGGGAACTCACTAAGCTTTGTGCTTATGGTTTGTGGTTTAAAAATTTCTTAGGTACTTCCAGTTCCATAGAGAAGGGTCTGGTTTGCTTGCACAACATCCCCTTATGATCTTCTGCACTGATGATTGTTATCTCACTTTCATGACTTTGATACATTTGTACTACGATTGGTTTTGATATGCATGACATATGGATTTGATGATTTTAAAAGTTGAAAAGTTTTATCATAATATTTTGGATGTTACAAGTTAGTAGCAAAGCCTTGGTTTGATGGATTCAGGCACACTGTCCAGGTGTGTTTGAACTCAAACTGAGGAATTGGTAATCTGTTGAAAAGGAAAACAAGTTTTCTAAAAAGGGTTTTTACAAAGAAAGGGGTGCGATGTGTGCAATCAGCCAAGATCAAGTAAGTGATTCCAAAAATACCCATACTTGGGTATTATGAATAGTATGATGTTATGTGAATTTCATGAGAGAGTAGGCCTAAGGATACCTTCAGGAACCGTTCGGTATAATTGCATGATTTGTGTGATGCCTAGTAGCCTAGGAGGAATTGGATGTTATGTATTACTTAAAACCTATTGGTAAAGTTAATTGCTAAGTGTATGTTTAAAAATAATATACGGTTAGGATCATATAACCTTAGAATGATTGATTTAGCCTTATTTCATCTTCCCTGTTTAGTTGTGGGTTTAGGGTAGAATCATTATTCGACCATCTATCTAATCCCATATTGTGTACGATTTGCATGCATAAGGCAACCGACAGTATTTGTAGAAGTTCCTAGTATTGTAGAGGCTAGTGAGATGAGGATTCCTAAGAGAGCCTAGGGAGTACTTCAGTAAGGATATGTATGTTTCTTAGCATATAGCTTGTGTCATTTGCTTTAGTGGAGTGACTTAGAGGATTTGGGATGGTTCTTGAGGAAAGTACAGATAGGTGTGGAAGGTAGCATTGGACCCGTACTACTAAAAGCATATGATCTATACTCGACTCAAGGATGGTATCAGTGATTTTAGGTGCTTCTGGTATGATAGTTCCCTCGAGTATATGATAATCGTTTGTATGCTTGTAGTTTAGTATGGTGAGCACTTGAGGAGGAGGTTCTAGATTAGGTTTGGGTCTTGGCTCTAGTGTCGAACTGATTGATGAGAGAGTATGCAAGCTCATCATGTCTGAGATCACTCATGGTATCTTGGAGTATACTCCTGTGATGTTTGGTACCATCAAGAAGGGGATTATGGAGCTTCTTGACAAGCGCTTGTGGGACTTTTAAGCCGAGATCATGGTGAGATAGTTGGCTGAACAGACTATCTCATTTCAAGAGTTATGGCTTGTGGAGCCCAGAGTTCATTAGGAGGAAGGACTTTATTGCTACCCACCGATGGATCGCTGACATGGAGAATGCTTTGCAAACGAGCTTCTTCCCCGAGGGGTCGAAGGTGGGGTTCACATCTTGCCTTCTGCGGGACTGAGCTTGTGACTGGTGGGAGGATATTGGTCATGCATTGGGATCTGAGGATGTGGTGTCCATGACTTGGGTGGATTTTGTGATGAGGTTCCGAGCTGATTTCACACCAGCTATCGAGGTACAATAGTTAGTGAGGGAGTTCCAGGACCTTCACCAGACTATGAAGACTATGGTGAAGATCACCAGACTTTCGAGAGAGGGATTTTCTGGTCCTATAGTATATTATGGATGAGGAGATGAAGAAGAAGAGCTACATTGATACGTTGAGGGATGATATTTGGGAGTTTGTGAGCTTGTCGGGTTGCAATACTCTGGAGGATATGATTGCAAGAGCCCAGGAGTGGTAGATTGACTTTGAGCTTCTGAGGAAGCAAATACCAGTGCAGAAACATACATCATAGGACTAGAAAAAGAGGCCAAAGACTATTGATGCAAGATTGAGAAGCCATCAGGGTCGCAGCCAATGTGCCAAGTATGGGAAGTATCATGAGGTAGGTTATCGAGAGAAGGGATGAAGTTGCTTTTAATGATGTGAGATGGGCTATTTCAGTAAGGATTGCACTTGTGGAGCATTGATATGCTTCCACTACAATCAGGCGGGCCATAAGAAGGTCGATTTCCTAAGATTGACAGGATGAGCGACGGTTGCACCTACACCAACCACTTTCACGATTATCGATGGCTGCCAAGGCAAGACAGAGGCTCCTGTGGTGAAGAGCATGGCATTCCACTTGACAGTCGAGGATGCGTGAGCAACTCTTGATGTGGTTAATGGTATGTATCTTTACCATATCTTTTATTGCTTTCCTTTTTTATGCTTATGTTTTATTTGATCATGTATAGGGACATTCTTAGTTAGTGGTATGACTGCTCATGTTCTGTTCGATTCAGGTGCTAGAAGATCATTCGTATCTCTTGCACTTAGCAAGAAGTTTAACGAAGCTCGAGGGACTTTGGATTTCCATTTCGAGGTGGAGATTACTAACGATCATTCATTTAGTGCTTTAAGGGTTCAACAGGGTTTTGTTCTGAATATGTTCAACGAAAGGTATTTTATCAATTTAATTTTGATTCCTCTATGAGGGTTGAAGGTCATTATGGGCATGGACTGGTTGTGACCCAATAGGGCCATGATTGATTACGAGTACCAGTTAGTGAGATTTCAAACCCCAAGTGGTGGAGAGTTGGTTATTCATGGCGAGGGTGGTCATTGCGAGCTATCAGTTTATTCAGCTGCGAAAGGTAAGAGGTATATTCAGAAGGGATGCTCTAGATTCATAGCTTATGTGGTGGATATGCATGAAGAGGATAAGATGAATGTAGAAGACGTGCCCATTGTTTGGGATTTCCATGGTGTCTTTCCCGAGGATTTTACGGGAGTGCCTCCTAATAGGTAAGTTGAGTTTCATATTGACCTAATTTTGGGCGCGACACCAATAGCCAAAAGACCATATAGTTTAGCACCTCTAGCGATACAGGAGTTGTCTACACATTTGCAGGAGTGGTTAGATAAGGGAATCATTAGACCAAACAGCTCAACGTGGGAAGCTTTGATCCTATTTTTGAAAAAGAAGGATGGTTCACACATGATGTATATTGATTACTGGGAGCTCAATAAGCTGACAATGAAGAACCATTATCCACTTTCGAGGATTAATGATTCATTTGACCAACTTCAGGGTGCATCTTGGTTCTCCAATATTGATTTGAGATCAGGATATCATCATATAAGGGTTGAGAATGTGTAGAAGTCGACCTTTAGGACTCACAATGGTATTTATAAGTTCGTGGTGATGCCAATTTGGCTCATCAATGGAACCGCAACGTTCTTGGATCTCATGAACCGGGTGTACAGACCAATGTTGGATCGGCCTGTGATAGTTTTCATTGATGATATCATGGTTTACTCTAAGACCAAGGAGCAGCATGATGGGAATTTATGAGAGGTTTTGGAAACCTTGAAGAGGGAGAGGCTTTATGACAAGTTCTCGAAATGTGAGTTTTGGTTGTGTGAAGTGCAGTTTTTGGGGCGCATCGTCAACCAGAAAGGTATACTAGTCGACCCAGCCAAGATAGAGGCAGTAATGCAATGGGAGATTCCAAAGACACCATCTGATATTTGGATTTTTCTTCGTTGGGATAGGCCCATGTGTATGGTATGTGCTATTTTGGGGAACTTACTGAGCTTTGTGCTTATGGTTTGTGGTTTAAACATTTTTCGGGTACTTCCAGTTCCAAAGGGAAGGGCTCGGCTTGACTGCACAACGTCCTCTTATGATTTCCCATACCAATGATTGGTATCTCATGCTGATGATTTTGATACATTTATACTATGATTGGTTTTGATATTCATGACATATGGATTTAATGAAGAGGAAGTCTAGCAGTAGAAGTGCTCATAAAAGCAACAAAGGATGGATTAACCTCGGTGGTGACCAGTTGGGTAGGGGAAAAAGCTTTACAGGCAGAGAAAAACCTAGCCAATAGTCAGCTAGGAACATGAAATGCGGCACATAGAGCGACCGATCGAAACTGGAGGTCCCCTTTGAATTTCTTACTTAGAATATTATAGAAACACAACATTCACTCCATCTCTTTCAAATAAAACAACTTTTTCTTTTCTTACAAAAAAAGGTGGGAGAGGAAAGGCTGTGTTCAGGAAATTCCTCATGAACAACAGTAAAGCTTCCCATTGTTAATCACGAAGAACTCAATCATCTTGCAGTGGTGGTGGCACTCGGTGCTCATCCAGTCGCCAACAAGAATGTGTTCAGGGAATTCCTCATGAATAAGTGTAACTCTGTTCAGGATACGAACGACCTCTTGATCATGACGGAGATGTTTAGGAGTACTTTCAGAA